GGCGCGAGCTCCATTACTCTTTGCACATAGAAATGGAACTTAACACTCCTGAAGACGTGGACTACGCAGCAAACAAACTGCAGGAAGAAATAGTCAAAGCTGCGCACCAAGCCGCCCCACCATCTTGCCAAACAAGACAACAGTCTCCGTACAACATCCCCCTCACCTTGGAGGCCCAACACCTACTAATACACAAAAGATGGGCCAGGAGACGCTGGTTAAGATTACGCACGCCTGATGCCAAATCCATGTACAACGAAGCCACGAGGCATCTTAAAGCTGCTCTCGCCCTGCTTCAAAAGAGGTGTATCAGCGATGCGCTGGTACGAGCTGAATCGCCCACTGACGCAGAGTTTCAATTATGGAAATTTACAAGAAAGCTCAAACGGCAGCCAATACGACGTCATCCCATTCGGAGCATTTCTGGTTCCTGGCACATTGGAGACGAAGCTCAAGCTGAGGCTTTTGCAAACCACCTTCAAGACCAATTCACGCCGGTGATTACCGCAGAGGCCTCAGAAATCGAAGCAACAGAAGACATCGTTCTCTCGCCCCTCCCAGCTGAAGACCAGATAACTGGATGTACAAAAGAAGAGGTTCTTGAACACATCAGAAGAGTGAAGGCAAAAAAATCCCCTGGATATGATCTAATAAACGGCAGAGTCCTTAGAGCACTGCCTGACTCCACCATAGACACATAACTATGGTGTACAACGCCATGCTCCGCATCCGGCACTTTCCAGCCTGCTGGAAGCGCGCCGTGATTGTGATGATTCCTAAGCCTGGCAAACCCGTGGGAGAAATTGAGTCGTACAGACCAATTAGCCTGTTGCCAGTACTCTCCAAAATATTCGAAAGAATATTTCTGGAACGAGTACTGACACATCTGGGACGCCAGGAGGCCATTCCAAACCATCAGTTTGGCTTCAGGAGACAGCATGGAACACCGGAACAGGTTCACAGAGTTGTGCACCATATCCTTGGAGCCTTTGAAGAAAAGATGTACTGCTCTGCCGTCTTTTTAGACATCAAACAGGCGTTTGATCGAGTTTGGCACCTGGGACTGCTGCAGAAAGTGAGGACCACCCTTCCAGCCCCATTTTTCGCGTTGCTATCCTCATACCTTATTGGAAGAACCTTCCAAGTGTCAAGGGGGCAAACAGTATCCTTGACTAGACCAATTATGGCTGGAGTACCACAGGGTAGTGTTCTAGGCCCAACACTTTATACTTTATTCACAGGAGATATGCCAACTCCCGAGCCAAATATAGGAAGTACAGATGCAGTACTCATAGCGACCTATGCAGATGACACCGCCATCTTATCACGTCACGTATCTGCGCAAGAAGCTTCAGACTCACTACAAAAATATCTGGACTCTTTCGGACGCTGGGCAAAACGGTGGTGTATCACCATTAATGCACAAAAGTCTGTACATACTACCTTCGCCACTAGAAGAGGAGATTGCCCAAGCGTTGCATTGGGGCCCACTATTCCCAAAGCCTCAAAAGTAAAGTACCTTGGTATCACTCTTGACAGAAGGCTGACTTTTAAAGCGCACATAAGTCAAGTAACCTCAAAATGCAAAAGCAAGCTAAAAACCCTCGACTGGATGCTGAGAGCTTCAAGCAAGTTGTCTTACAGCAGCAAGGCCGCCATCTACAAGGCAATAGTTGTCCCAACCTTCGTATATGGTATCTCTCTATGGGGCTCCTCGGCGAAGACTACAAGGAACAAAATTCAGACCCTGCAGAATAAAGCACTACGCAGATGGACTGGAGCCAGCTGGTTTGTAAGAAACTCAGTCTTACATAGGGATTTAGCAATTCCCACAGTTGCTGAACTCATTGGGCGACACAGTTCAAGATACGCGGACAGACTTGCAGCGCATCCTAACCATCTCGCAAGCAACCTGGCTATAAACAACAATAGGCGAAGACTGAAGAGATTGCATCCTCTAGACAATATTAGAACTAATTAAGATAGTAGCTACAAGTGCAGAATAATTGGCATATCTGCCCTCCCATTAGTTAAGGTTTAGAGCTAAATGCGCTATAGAGTCTAAGACAATAAGCTGCAACAAAATAAAGAAATAAAAACGAAAAAAAAAAAAAAAAAAAAAAAAAAAAAAAAAAAAATTTTGGGCGGCAGTCTCTAATTAATGAAATGCGAAACAATGCGAAATGGGACACACGCACACAATTGCAATTTGTGTTGTTTGCCGCGGCGAATTCACAATCGACTTTTATCGCAATTTTTTTCTGTCAGTTTTATGTCAATTCGCCGTCATGACAATAAATTAAACGTAAAAGCATTAAAAAAATCGCGTGGGTCGTTTTTGGAGTTACTTTTTGTACCTTTATCAGACGCGAGTAATCAGTTTTATTGCAGAGCACCTCGCCTCGGCCTGCGCCCCTCAACAGCAGCGCCGCTTCAACAAAATCAAAAGACATTTCCAGACAAAAATTTTCCACTGTAACAACAATAGCAACGGCATAATAAAGCAAGCATTGCACCCCAAAAAAATCAGACATACAAACATACACATGGATACGTTCTGCGCTCATATTTGGTTGAGTTGGAATCTAAGTTCCTTTTGCTCTCTCCTCTCTCTTTGATCTTTATTTACGCTGTCTTGCAGTTCAAACACCTCGATTGACTTCCTGTTAAACGTGTTCCAATTCCAAAACATACCCAAACGGCCTTGCGCCCAATTAACTAACTAAGACTTTTGGCGCTCTCTCGCTCTCTTTCTGTGTGCATTGTCTGGAATGCCACCCAGCAGCATTTGCTGCTGTTGCTGTGGATGCTGCTCAATGTGTACAGTTTTCTATTTTCATCGTTTTTTTTTTTTGGTCATTGTCCTCCAGTTGCGTCTTCTGTCTTATTTATAGAATCGCTTGACTTAGCAGCAACAACTGGTTACTATTGCAATTTATGTCTCCCACTGCATTGCAGTTTCACGCTCTCTCTCTCTCTCTCTCTTTCTCTGTGTCAAACTCGTTGTGCTGCATTCCATTCGAGACGCAACAAGTTGTAATGCACGCGCACACGTATGCACTTATGTATGTATGTGTATGTGTGTTGTGGACTGCATTTTTTTGGAATTCAGCTCTCGCTCAGACGCTCGCTCAGATCAGTGGGGCAAACACACGCGGAACATTGGGCAAATATTTATGCTGTATTCTTTTTTTTTGTTTTCGCCAGCTGCTATTTACTTATGTGTGTTTCTCTTACTTTTTTTATGTTTTAATATTACTTTTTTTTTGCTTTTTGCACTTGCGCTGCTGCTGCCGCCACATCAAGTTCAAGGCTGCGCTTTCATCGCCTTATCAGGGCATTAAACTCAATAAACAAAAAATTCAAAAAAAAAAAAAAAGAATTTCTTAAACGCAGCTTAACAAATGGCGCGCAAAAATTAAAATAAATAATGCGACAACTTTTCAATTAAAAACCCAAAAAAAACAAAAAGAAAATAGCTAGAAGTAATTGGCAGAAATACACGCGCTAATTTCCAATACATTCCAATCAGAACAAAAATCAGGCAATTTGCACACAAAAAGAAAAAATTAACGGCAGCAATTTCAAGGTCAATTTTATTTTTACGCACTTTTTTCTCTGTTGTTGTGTTTCGCATTTATTGTTTTTGTTTTTTTTTTTGGCATGGGAAATTTAAATCACATAAAAAAATCGCGCACATTGTTTTGTTTGTGTTAATCTTATAATTGCGGCTGTTTTTACCGTTAGAATGTGCCTGTGTGTGTTTGTGTGTGTGCCACTCGACAGCTTATCTGCCCCTGATTTGTTTTCTAGACTAAAAAACAAAAATTTAGTTGCGATCTTGATAAAACGGCAAAAAATATATTAAAAAACAAAAACAAAAACAAAATTAATATTTGTATTTTCTTTTGCCTATTCACATACAAACAGACACGAGACATATTTACTAAATTGAGTGAACGTAATTTATTATATTGAACGTTGTTTATTCGCTTTTTCGCAAATCCACAAATTTTGCGTTTTAAGTTTTGTTTTCTCTATTTTCTTCTTAGAGTTTTCTGCACGAATCTTTAGTCCATTTAAAATTCCCACAAATTATTGCAATTGCAAATAAAACTGTAAAACAAAGCACACAAGCAGACATAATTTATAGTGGGAAAAGCGCCGTTAGCCTATCTCTTCGTTTTAGGTATAGGCCAAATCTTTTGAGTATTTCATATATTTTTTTTCAATGCCAACTGATTCCACAGCTAAGCTCAGTGTGTGTGTATGTGTGCAGTTCAACAACCAGTTTAGAATTTCTTAGGGAGCAGCAGCAGTCGCAGCCGCAGCAAAGACAACCGACAACCAAACAAGCTCCCAAAGCGCGCTCGCTTTCGTTGCTGCTGCCGCTGGCTACGACGCCGTCACCGTCGCTGCTGTCGCCTGTTAATTTAGCAATTTGAACAAATTCCTTTTTTCTTCTACTGTCTTCCCTTATTGTCCGTTGTTCGCGCGCTCGCTCTCTCTTGCATTCATTTTAATAAATCACACGAGGAATATGTATGCCAAATTTAAACAAGAGCAACACAAAAGAAGAGTTTCACATAAACACACAAACACACACATAAAACAGACAAAGCGAAATTTAATCAAAGCAGAAAAGGCGACGAGAGCCACAGGGCACAGGCAACATAAAGTAAAGCTTGCTAAATAGATAGTTAAGTGAGGTTTTACAGCTATGACAAAGTGGTCGCCTGTACTGTCGTGCTCCGCTTCAAGAATATGCACATACATATGCATGTATATTTATTTACGAATACTTTGTATTAGGCCCCAAAGTGTCATAAGCAAGTTGTTCGCAACTGTGCAGTACTTTGTCTTGGACAACTGTGTCGCCTGTACGTGTGTCATATATGTATGTATAAATTGTATGTTCATCTCTTTTCATTCATTGCTGTTCGCTCAGCTGTTTTCACATTTGACTAATCCGTTATCTTCGTTATTCTTTCTACTTGCAGTCAAAGTGTGTGAGAAACGTTTAATACTGCGAGAGCACAAACAGGATTACATAAAAAGAGAGCGCGAAGTAATGCATATGATGACGAATGTTCCAGGCTTCGTCAATCTTTCGTGTACGTTCCAAGACCCGCGTTCCCTCTACTTTGTGATGACATACGCCCGCAAAGGCGATCTCCTGCCCTACATCAATCGCGTCGGTAGCTTCGATGCCGCCTGTACGCGCCATTACGCAGCTGAGCTGTTGCTCGCCTGCGAACACATGCATCGCCGCAACGTGGTCCATCGCGATCTCAAGCCAGAGAATATACTCCTGGATGAGGATATGCATACACTGATTGCCGACTTTGGTTCCGCCAAGGTCATGACCCCGCGCGAACGGTTGCAGGCGTCCGATTTGCTCGCCAGCAGCGGCACATGCGAAGGGCAGCGACGTCGCCGCTCGGCACGTAGCTCCGATGACGATGATGAGGACAGCGACGATGATTTGGAAGAGGATGACCAGGACGATAGACGTTTGTATTACGACTACGAGGACGATGACAATGAGGACGATGAGGCGACACCTGCCAATGGCGAGGGAGTGCGCAACAATCGTCGGCGCTACCCTGGAATGCGAGCTCGCCGAGGTAGCTTCGTTGGAACCGCTCAGTATGTCTCCCCGGAAGTATTGCAAAATGCGCCGATTACGCCAGCCGCCGACCTGTGGGCACTCGGTTGTATCATCTATCAGATGATATCGGGTCTGCCGCCATTTAGAGGCAGCAACGATTACGTCATCTTCAAGGAGATCCTCGGCTGTGCTGTGGATTTCCCGCAAGGATTTGACAAAGATGCCGAAGATTTGGTTAGGCAGCTGCTGAAGATTGATCCACGCGAGCGTCTGGGCGCTCAGGATGAGTTCGGCTACTATGAAAGCATCCGGGCGCATCCCTTCTTCGCCGGCATCGATTGGCAAACGTTGCGACAACAAACACCACCTCCCATATACCCTTACCTGCCCGGTGTTAACCAGGACGACGCGATATGCACGGTCAACGGAGTCAGCTACAGTTTGCCCATTAGTGGTGATCTGGAACCAGGACTGGATGAGCGACAGATCACTCGACTGCTCAGCGCTGAATTGGGTGTTGGCAGCAGCGCAGCAGCGCCTGCTCACAAGCCTTCTACGGCGAAAAGTAAGTACTGGAATGGGATATTGGAACGCTGGAACTTTTTACTATAGCTTTTCTCTATCTTTAGATTCCTTCGACTTGAGCGACGCTCAGAAGTTGCAACGGCTCGAGGCACAAAAGACTGAAAAATGGCATGTGTTTGCCGAGGGCGAGGTGATCCTGAAGAGTGGCTTTGTGAATAAGCGCAAGGGTCTGTTTGCCCGGAAGCGGATGCTGTTATTGACAACGGGGCCGCGGCTCATCTATATTGATCCCGTGCAGATGATCAAAAAAGGTGAAATACCTTGGAGTGCGGAATTGCGAGCAGAGATTAAGAATTTTAAAATCTTCTTTGTGCATACGGTAAGTTTGCTTTTAGTATTTTAGCTGGTATATTGAGGCTTTTTTATTGTTATTGCTTGTGGCAGCCGCAGCTGCTCACAGTTTGTTGAACTAAAGCAACTAATGATGACGTCAAATGTCGTAAAAAGAGAAAAAGAAACAACACCTACACACATTCAAGTAGAGGATCCAGTTTATAGCGACGGCACGTGTTTACGACCCAACAACAAATAACTCAATTATATGCGACATTGAAAACTGCACACGCAACGTAGATAAAACACAAAAAAACGCATTAAATGACAATAGTTTTTAATGGCTTTTGGTCACACTTTTTCACTTTCGCACACATGCATGCAAGCAACTCTAACCAGTTGTTGAGCTTTACATATGTTGAGACGGTCTCTTACGTTCTCTCTTATTCTACTTTGCAGCCCAATCGCACATACTATCTGGACGATCCCGAAGGCTATGCCATACAGTGGGTCGAGGCAATTGATAATATGTCAAAATTAAGTTATGGTGATGCGACGGATGTAACGTCTTCAACAACAGGTGGCGCTAGCGATGCAGCTGCGGCGACATCGACGACAGCGAGCATCTCATCGTTCGCCTGCTCAACGGGCGGCAGCAGCAATAGCCTCGCCATTGTTAATACAAATTCGCCTGCGTCCAATAACAGTTCGCCGACAGCGCGGCGAAGTTCGCCAGCGCAGCGACAGCAAATGGAAACAACAATACCAGCAGCAGCACCAACAACAGTGAGGGGCAAAAAGACAGCGTCCAATTGAACAGCTGAACACGTGTCGTGACTGTTGTCGTTATTTAGATTTAAATGCAAATTAAATTCTAATTTAGTTGAAATTTAGTGCAAACAACAAACACCTAGAAGAAACCTATACATGGAAACACACATATAAACCCATACACACATACAGAAAAATAAGTTAGAAATGCAAGGAATGTGTCGAAATTTGTTTAAATATCAAATTAACAATTTAATTTTTGTGCTTGTCTCTCGTTGAATGTTTGAAAAATTTGTGCATATATATATAGAGAAAAGGATAGAGGGAGAGAGGGCGACCGAGAGAGAGAGATAGAGAGGAAGGGGGAGGGAGTGTAAAACTAAATAAAAAACATATATAAAATACAATTATAAGCAGAAATACGTATAATATATATATAAATTTAAATTAAATTTAAACTAAATTAATTTAAATTAAATTAAATTAAATTAAATTATTACAACAAACACAAACATATATTTATAAAAAAAAAACAAAAAAATCAAAAAAAATATCAACATATACATGTTTATGCTCCACTGTCCGGGCGAGCTGCACAAGTGTGTCCGTGTCTGCACCATAGATGGCGCCAGCAACTTGTTCTATGCATAGTTTAAAAACAAATTTTTTTAGCTCGTAGTTAGTCACAATTTAAATGAATTACAGAAGAAGAAGAGAAGCTAAAGCTGCGGCGCCATTGGTCAGCGGCCTCATCACAGTGGGGCAACATAAGCTATAAAAAAAGATAAACTAAATTCAAATTGTATTCAAAACTAGCAAATGATATATATGTAAAATTGTATAACTGTAAATTATATATAAATATTATATATATGCAAACACACATAGTTGAAAGGGAGTGTGTTGGTTTTCTGTCGCCTAACTGTAAATTGTAAACTATGTAAATCTATATATATATATATATATATATATATATATATATATATATATATATGTATATGTATATGTATATGTATATATATATATATATATATATATACAATGCTATATATAGAATAACTGTACATTAGCTATACGCGCACGTGTAAAGCGAGCTAAAAATGCCTCAAATGAAGAGAAAATTGTAACTGTAGTTTAGCGCGGCGACGCTAGATGGCGCCACCGCGCACGCTCAACAGCAGCTAACAATTTATAGTAAGAATTTTTTGTTTTTCTTTTCGTTTGTTTTTGATTTCTTTCATTTAATTTATATAAAATGCTTTTTTGCCCTACAAAGAAACGTATAAGACTTTGAGAAACTAAATAAAAGAAAATACAAAAAAAAAAAATAAAATAAAAAATGATGCAAGCAAAACAAAAATAAAGTAACTAAAAAAATATAAAAAAAATAAAAAAATGTGTGTAAAACGAAAATTTAGTTAAAATTAAATTTGGCTTTTTCGATAACTAAGAAAAATTGTATTTATGTTTTTTTGTTACGTGTTTGCTTTGCATAAGAGTAAAAAAAGAGAGGAAGGGAGAGAGCAGAATAAAGTTAGCTTGAAAAGTTATGAAAAAAAAACAGGTATAAAAATTGAATTTTTAAATAAATTAAAAAAAAAAATAATTCAAATTTAAAATAATTTTTTTGGTTTAAGCAAAAGAATGGAAAAAGTTTCTAAAACTCGCGCGTGTTTAGTTCAATTGTAAAGCCTAAGTTATGCCTAGACCACGCCCCGCCCCATACAACACACTCAAACTACTTAGACTTAAGCGTGTACGAGAGAGAGCGAGAGAGTGCGAGAGTCGTAATGAAAGAAAGCAAAAAATACATTTGTAAATACATATCGCGTCCCACATTTGTTTTCAATGATGGGCGTGGCCGTAGCAGCAATTTACCTATATATACACACACATATATATATATAGTACAGTTAAGTTACGCAAGTATACAATTAATTCAATTAAAATTAAATTAAAAGAAATTAAATTTAAAGAAATTGTATAATTTATTAAATTGCAAAGAGAGTTATGTAAGCAACAACAAAAACAAACTATATATGTAAATTATTATACACACACACACACATAGCATATATATGTATATATAACAAACACATCTAATATATATATATATATATTTAAATTAAATTGGTAAAGAAACCAGAAGAAGAAGAAAAACAAATTGAGAACGTATCATTAAAAATTAAAAAAAAATTCAAAAATATATATTAATGAAAAAACATAAAATTTTCAAAAACTACAAGAAAAATCTTTTTAAAAAATTGTTTTTATTTCGCTTTGGTTAACAAATTGGCTGCGTTTTTTGTTAAGTTTCGGCTGAACGACAAGAACAAGAAGAAGCAGAAGAAGATCTATTATACTGCCTGGCTCGAAATGGAACTAGTTCCAAACATTCCCACTCCCAAAATCCAAAACATTGAGAACCTAAAGCCTTAGGAAACAACACTGTAAAAAACTACACTGAGCGAAAAAAATACAAATTGAAAAGTGAAGGGCAGAGGAAAGAGAAGAGAGAAAACAGATGAGAGAGGGAGGGAGAGTGAGAGTGAGAGTGAGAGAACACATAATAGGAAGAGAGATAAAAGATTAGAGTTGAGGGAGAGTAGATAAAAGAGATTAGAAGAAAAAGAAATTAGAAAAAAAGTTGCAGTTAGAGTTAACCTCGGCTAAACGAAGTTATAATGCCCTTGCAGAGGGAGGGAGATAGAACCAACTCAAGTTGAGAAAGTTGCTTACTATATCGTATATATATATACTATATAGACCTATCAAGGATTTCATTTTATTTTATAAAGACTTCCGATTTCATTATATATATATATTTATAGTATATATATGCATAGATTCAAAGAGGTAAAAAGAATTTTTTCTTTATTTTTCGAGCATCATTTCTAAAGCTATGGCATTCCGGTATGTTCAGAATTAATTTTTATTAAATGTAGAAAAAGAGCTACAAGTTCTTGGAAATATCTGAAAGAAAATTAATTTTACTCAGACAATTTCTCTAAACTCTATGGCACGTTCATCTGGCCTAGCTGGACATAGTCTTAATATATGTATATCTGATTGCCAAATCCTGGTTCATATACAGATCTGTTTAAGCTAGATTATGTAGACTCTAAAACAATTCCAACAAAATTGTCAAAGTACGTCTCGATTTTCAGATAGTAACGACTTCTCGTACAGCCCCTGCAAGGATATTTCCGGAGTGTTTTTGATTTTTGATTTCGATTCCTTTATGTGCTGCAGTACCTAAAACAGAAGTCCACACAGAGCAGACAAGTCATAAGCCCTATATAGAGTAACCCGGATTACGGTGCGGGACTTCAAAATATACAACTTTTCAGATGCCCATTAGAAAGTCTCATTTTGCAGCTCTATCAAAGGAAGAAGAGGAAGAAGAAAGTGCCTAGTGAACCAGTAGAAAAAGTTTAGAGCATAAACTTTGTCGATATTTTCCCTATTATATACATACACACACACACACATACATATATATACTATAAACTATATACTTGCGAGATTTTAGTAAGTTTCTTAAGCCTGGGCAAATGTATACGATTTAATCTTAAAGCATTTTGGTTGAAAGTGAAACTTTAGTCGAATCCAATTGGCAAGCGGAAATTCCAGTTAGAATATCATTGCAAGTACTTTTCTAAATGCGTGTGTGAGAGACAGAGATAGTGTGTTATTTATATATAATCTAATGATAAATGAATACTAATTAGAATTCAATTGGCAGCCATTACAAGGAATATCGTTTGTGTCCAGTTTTGTGTATGATAGAGAGAAAGTGAGAGAATGTGTGTTATTCAAATAGCATTCGAGCTACACTTCCAGTTAGAGTCCAAGGTGCAAGGAATTTTGTTTGTGTTTAATTTTGTGCAAGAGATAAAGAGAAAGAGGGAGAATGACGTGTAGTATCAAGAGAATTTCCACTTAGAGTCCAATTGGTTGATATTGCAGGGAATTGCTTTTGAATGTGTGTGAGAGAGATGAGGATAGTGGGAGTGGAAGCTACTTAAATAGAATACAGATAGCACATGAAAACACAGTTAGAATCCATTTGGTAAGGAGTTGCCTGCATGTCTGCGAGCGAGCGTGAAAGAGAGGGAGAGAGTGTGTGTGTGTTAGTTATATATCGTAATTAGAATTCAATTGACAAACATTGCAAGGAAGGAACGAAGGAAGGAAGAGAGGTCAAGAGAGGGAGAGAGAGAGTGTGAATGTTATTTAGTTATGGCAAATTTTTAGTGCAAAACATTTAGCCGATAATCAATATAAACAGACATATTTATATCTCTATATATGTATATATAGCCAATATTATACGAGTTTATACATAACTAATTGCATATATACATACATACATATATATATCTGTATATCTGTATATATATGGATATATATGTTGGAACAGTTCACATTGTATATTGATAAATTCGTGAGCGAATCGATCCGTTTTATCCAAGTTCAATCTCTAGGGGTGCTAGACTGAGTTATATATATATATATACGTATATATATATATATATATATATATATTACATAAGTATATAAACATATATATATATGTGTATATCTATATATATATATATATATAAACGTAAAAACTCTTAACGTAAACGTAATTCAATTACCTTTTGCAAAAGAATAAAGTATCAAATACACCAGACTAATTTGCAATCTATATGTACAGACCTACATATTTGTATACCTATATACATATTATACATATATATATACATACATTGATATATATATACATAAGAAGTACTTATATATACATGCATTATTAAGTTAAAGACCTTCCATAAACCTGGCCCTAAAGCTACTTTGTAAAACCAGATACACACACTCACACACATACATACACAGACATACGTACATATATATACATATACATATACTATATATTTACATATATAGATTTTAAGCAGAAAAAACAACTATAAATTATTATGAGCATAAAATAACAACACGCAGTCTCTACACTCACAATTCCTAAGATCGAAAAGATATATATATATATATATATATAAACTGTCAAAATTCGACTGCAATGTTGTACTTTTCAGCACGTAAAAGAAACAGAGAAACTAAAACTAAGTTCAAAACATAAAAGTTCGTTACATTCAGCGCGCATTCGCGCGCAGTTTGAAAAAAGCAAATTTCCCCTGAAACAAATTTTCTCCCAAAATGATCCCAACATAAACTAACTATGTAATATTCGCAAAGCAAAAACGGAAATACAGTTTGTTAATGAAAATTAAGGTTTGAGAAATGTAAAAAGCGTTGCCTGTAAGTGGTTCGATTCGATTGAGAATAAAAACTAAAAGAGCAAGTGAAGCAACAGAGAAGAAAAGAACAAGAGAAAATGCGCCAAGTGTTTTAATTTTAACGGCCACGCTGTGGCATAGCAGGTAGCTTCTGTCAGTGTTGCCAGACGCTGAAAAATTCGAATAAGTGCGATATAAATTTCAAACTGACATAGAGCGAGACAACTATATGTAGCATTGCAGTGCTATAACGGCGTGCTTATGACATCGCGGCATGGTGCGTGTCTGAACTGAATTTTGATGTGCAGAAAATACTAAAGTTAATACAAAGTACAAAGTACAAAATATTTAACTGTTTAATAGACATTAGGCCAAAAGAAATGCAATTCTTCTTGTGCTTTACCTTAAATGCAATTTGCATTGATTTCTTAGCTTATTGAGAGACTAAGAGCTAAAGTCAACTGATATAATTTGAACGGCCAATCAATGTCATAGCAGTTAGTTTTTGTATGTGCTGCCAGCCGCTGAATAACTCACAATGTCAGCGAGCAAAGCAGGCAGTTATTTTGTATAACAATATTATACTGGCGTAGAGCGAGACAGCTATATATAATAATATAACATATTTTATAACATGGCTGTGTTATAGCAGCATGCTTATGATCGGCAAGGTCACTTGGCGCGCGTTTGAATTGAATGTCAATGTGAAGCAAATATTTTCAATTCAATAAAATGACAAATATATAAGTTAGTTCGTTTTTTATAGGCAATGCACAGATAAGAATCCAATGGGAAACTACATTTATTCCTGTTGCTTTGCTTCAAATGTCATTTGCACTGATTTCTTAGAAATTATGAAAGATTTCGAGTTAAAGCCACATATATCTGAAGTTTGGCCTTTGAAATGGATAATACCGTTGGTCATCTGTGGCTACCTGACGGGCATTGGACTCATCCTGCTCTGGTACGAATTGCAGCCGGCGCACAAAACACGAGATCTGACGCAGCTGTCGCTGCTCTACGTCTGCCTGGGGCTGCTCTGCACTACGATGCTCTTCTGTCGCGCCGTGCGGTGAGCCAGTGCATCCACTTGTAGCTCCCATCTAATCCTCGCCTGCCCTGCAGCTGTGTATTGACTCTCGCACTACCTTCTCTCGGCAGCAGCCGAGGACGCGCTCTGCTCATCACTTTCGCCTTCTTCTTGGCTGCCCGCGGACCCATCGCCAATATCCTGGCCAATTTGATGGTATTGCTGCGCAGCTTGGCCTGCGCCCAGGAGCTGCTGCGCCAGGCCCTGGGCCACATGATGGATGTCATTGCGGAGCCGGTGCGCGCCGTGCACATGGCCATCGAGCTGTTGATGGACGAGCTGCGCCGCGTGATGCGACAGCTGATGGAGCTGCTGCTGCGCATTCAGAGCTATCTCCTGCTCATCAGTGAGTCCCTCTCCCTCTCTGTGCCACGCTCTCTCTGATTACTTATGCTGCGTTTGCAGTTGACACCTTCAAGAGCTGCGCTGGCTGGCTCAAGGCTGTGCTGGAGCTCTGCAACTCGGAGCTGGGCACGCCCTGGGCCCGCTGCCAGAAGGCGGCAAGTCGAGCGATGCTCAAGTGCCGCGCTCGACTTGGCGTCCTAAAGTCTCTCTGCTACGCCACGAAGCTCTTCCTGGCTCTTTGCTATCCTGCCAAGCTGGTGGATGTCTTTTGCGCTGGCGTCTGGGATGGCAGCTGGGCGATCGTGGACACCATACTGGAGCGTAAATATCTTTCCCTCTCTCTGTCTTGCTCTGTTTTCTGTCCTCTTATGTAAGTTCTGCTTGACCTCTACTCTCTTTTGCCTCTCCCTCTCTGCTCTCCAGGCTACTACGAGTTCGTCGCTCACCTGGAGCAAATGTTCGATGTGAGCATCAGCTTCGAGCATGACTTCTACTTCCACACGAATGCATCCAGGAACCTGTCGGATGTGGGCGAAGAGATCATTCACGATATCAAAGTGCGCCTGCGTCCCCTTGTCCTATTCGACAGCTGGCTGGATTTGCTATGCTGGATCATGGTGCTGTTCATCTTTATCAAGTAGGTGGCATCTATCAATAATTGATTGATTGACTGACTGACTGACTGACTGATATAGAGACTAGAAACTAGTCTTAAGTAGGTCTTCAGGTCATCCTGGCTCAGTCTCCTCATAAAGCTCCGCCTTTTACTGCTCATTCAATTCTTAATCACAGATCCATCTATTTCTACCTGCGCTACATGCACAGCCTGAAGTATCAAAATATGTATCTGACTCGCTCGTTCTATGCGATCGATGCCAAATGCCGGCAGAAGGGCGAGCCCGCAGTGCTGCCGCTGCAGCGTCTGGAGCATTTCAAGTACCTAAAGGTGAGAGCTCTGCAAATATTGATCCTTTCACCTATACCTGGAGCCTCGCTGCAGCTGAGCAGCCTTCGTCTGACAGCCATTGAGTATGTGTTGCTGGCGGAGAGTGCGAGTTTAATGTGCAACACGTGCCTGCAGCTGGGCTGCATTTGCCTGGTGGACTTCAGCGTCTTCTGGCTGCTGGACATGATCACGTACTACGGCGAGGAGCAGAAGGATATCGAAATACCGCCCTTTCTCGATGTGCAGGTGGAGGGCGGCGGCTTTGTGGGCGATGTGATGCGGGGCGTGGCCAATGCCTTTCGGCCGATGTCGCAGAAGACGCGAGTGGACTCCAAGAGCTGCCTGCCCGAGCCCGTAGAGCCCGCCTATCGATATTACATTGGCATCCTAGTGCTGTGTCTGCTCGCCTGGTTCATTCTAGTCGCGGAGCCCTATTTACTGCGACTGCGCCATGCGATCATGGAGCGCTACTACCCGGAGCGAGCGCATGAGCGCGCGCTCTACCTGCACAGCAAGATCCTTGCGAAGAGAGGTCTGATCCACAGTTTATATGTTATAGGTGCAGTTATATAGCTTAATTATCGGCAGATAAGTTCATTTGTATATTTGTGACTCATGAACTAGTTCTGTTTTGCTGCTGAACTAGTGCTTTGGCTCAGTTCGTAAGCAATTCAATTGAATATCCATAGATGTTCTGGTTCATAGAACTAGTAGCTCCTGAACTTATATATACATATATAGAATCGTTTATATAACTAGTCGAAAACGAAGGTTCATCACGGAACTGACTCGTTTCATGAATTGAAAGTATAGTTCATCACTGAACTGACTCATTTACTAGTTCATTTCAAGTAGCTTTTCAATTGGTCCGACTCAAGTCGACTTAGTTCTGCTAGCATATAGTCTTGTACGATATATATCCATTGCAATCTGATCTATTCTCACTGCTCCTAGTCAGCTTCCTTAAGATGATGCGCCGCAAGATAAGAGCAACGTTAAAGTATCAAAAGGACGGCTGCTGCAACTGCTGCTGGGGTTGGATTCGTACAAAATTCTGCTGGTTCGTACTGCCCCACATTGAACTAGCGCTCTTCCCCCTCTCTGTTAGTCCTCTCTTTACATTCACTTCTTGCTCTTCAGGTGCTGCCGTTGCCTCTGTCGCTCGGGTGGTCCGCGCAAGGAACGGTGCCTGCTGTGCGCCCAGCTGTTGAGCTCGTTAGTGTAGTACCTCGATAGACTCAATTCAAGTCAGTTTCAACAGGGACTACCTACTGCCCTTTACAGCTCGAACCGCATACAGTGCGACACGCCCGAATGCCCCGGCCTCTACTGCCAGCCCTGCTACAGCGAGTCCAAGCACCAATGTTGCCTCTGCAAGCGGCCCATGGACTATGGCGACCACAGCGACATCTCCGAGATTCAGTAAGCTTTGCTGTAGACTTCTATGGTATCGCTCAGCCAGCTAACCGCTCTTTCAGTGACTCCTCCGATGACCCCGGCACCGAATCCTATGGCCAAATACGGAAACGGACTTACTGTGCCAAGTATCGCAAGGAGGAGGGCAAGAAGAAACCATGAAGCGAAGCGAAACGGAAGTTCAGGAGATGCGCTGTTTAGGTATTATACTGAAGTCCTTGGCGTAATACAGTCTGAGCTAATAAAATATTTGTAGTACAGCTAAAAAATGCTTCTCTGTTCACTGTTCTACGGGATATGCGACCTTCATAGCTGTTATATGAACCTGGTTGCCTTGCCTTGTCCTGGCCTTCAAATGTTTAGTGCTAAGACGGTTCGACAAGCTTTTCGTTACGGCCTTGACTCTTATGTCAAGTGAGCTGGAAAATAGTCAGCATATAGTTTGAATCCATCGGGGAATGAACGGTCGGAAGCAGGAGCAGATCGCAAGACGCAGGCAACCGACTCGAGTGTAGCTAAACGTGGCTAAACTTGATTTCCTTGGGATCGTTCGTAGGCAATGCTTGTTGACTAGTTGGATTCCAGTTGGTTTCCAGACATAGAATGAGAAGGATGCATTCGTCTTATCGATCTTTTGATAGAAGCCAAGGAGCCATTTATCCCATAGAGTCGGGCCCCAGTCACGATCCCATTCCGGAGCCGAAAGAGCGCGGGAGTAACTTTGGCAATCTAATGATCTTTGCGCTAATTGGCTACATATCGGGCATCCTCTTGATCCTCGCTTGGTATGTCATCGACTTTGGCAGGGAACGCAAAGAATTGAGCTTGAAGTGGCTATGCATCGTGCTTCTTGGACTCCTGTTTCTGATAGTCATCTACAATCGAGCTACCAAGTACGTAAGGCTAGATGTTAATGTCTGTAAGCTCTGTTAAGTATGTATCATATATTTTTTATATCTATCTGGAGTATATAGTATATCTATCTATCTCTCTTCTATCTCTCTTCTCGCTCTCTTCTAGCTTTCTTCTAGCTCTCTTCGATCTTTCTTCTATCTGTCAATCATCTATATTCTTTGCATTCAATTTCTCCTCCATCTAGCTTCGACCTGTCTCCAATCTTTCCTCCATCTTTTCTCCATCTTTTCTCCATCTTCCATTCATCTCTTATCTATTTTCAATTCCTCTTTCATCTACTTCCCATGCAGATCCATTGGCGCATTATCCTTGATCTCCATTTTAGGTTACGCAGGACTTGAGCTAAGCGTTTGTCTGGCCTTCATCCTTGCTGCCCTGGGTCCTGTGACCAACATAATGGCGAATATAGAGATAATGGCGTACAGTTTGTACTGTGGCCAAACGCTGCTCAGGGCGGCGCTGACGCCCATGCACGAGATCATGGGCGCGCCTGTCTACGTGGTCGAGCAGGCGGTCTACAGCTGTTTGAGCCAGGTGAGAAAGCTAATGGACCGCGTGGACTCTGTGCTACGGGGTCTTGAGCAGCCTATTATGCGGCTCTGTAAGTGAGATCCCTATGACCACATGTGATTGAACTGTAAGGCATGTGCCCTTAGCAGATGCTGGCTACAAGGACTGCGATAGCTGGCTGTTGCATCAGCAAAGCTTCTTCGAAGCTCAAATGGGTTCGCCGTATGATCGCTGCTTGGGCGCTGGCACGATCAGCATGCAGGACTGCAAGCTGAAGTTCAAGGATCAGCCGTCCGCCTGCGGTCTTCAGAACCACTTCGAGTGGTTCTGCTCGAATCTAAAGGATCTGCCCAGTTTCTTCGACGTTCACCTGGAGGAGCAGCAGCAGATGGTCGAGCAGGTGTTCAGTCGTAAGTCCTAAATGCTCCTTTGAGTGAGCTTTCAGCAGTGGCGCTCTGTTCGCAGGGCCTTCGCACATGTTCGCCAAGATCCGGGCCATGTTCGAGGTGAGCATTACGTTCGATCACAATGCCAAGTCCGGTGAGACGCCTGACGCCTTGGGCAGCGCTCCCGATCGCCACATGGCCACTGACTTTGACCGGCAAATGCAAGTATTTGGGTTCATCTATATCTGGCTGGCTGCCGTGGTGTTGGTATTGATGGTACTGCTGGTGCTGCACGCGATCTGCTTCCACATGAACTACTTGAGCAGCCTTCATTATCGCAATTTCTATTTGACCAGGGATTTTTTTGAGATCAGCAAGGCGAAGCCGACCGACTTCTCGCCCGATCTCCTGCCACTGCGACCCAACGAACGGAAGATCCTTGTCGCAGTCAGTAGTTTCTAGATCATGTCAATCGAGCACTTGCTCCAGCTTCTACTTGCAGCTGGGCTCTTGGCGCCTGTTGGAGCGCGAGGCGCGCCACTCCAACGCTTCCCTAGTCCTTTTGATCATCATCAACTTGCAGCTCCTTACAATTTGCGTGCTCGACTATAGCTTATCCTGGATGCTGGCCGACATGACTGTGCACTTGCACAAGACACCCGAGCTGCAGCGTAGGCTCTGCACAGATCTGTGCGCATCTCAACTATATACGCCTTCTCCTTAGCTCCTGCATATACGAAGATTGTGATTCGAAGAGGCGGACTGATCGCTGATATTCTACGTGGCTTGGTTCAGGCCTTCGAGCCCCTGTCCAAGAATCTGATCGTGGACATACAACACTGCTTGCCCCTGCCTAGGCCACCCTCGTTTGTGCGCTACTGGGAGATTCTGATGCTGTGCCTGTTGGCCTGGCTTCTGCTCATCGGCGAGCCACTCCATCATCGGCTGTGCCACAAGATTATGTCCATGTTTTATCCAGCCCATGCCAGACATCGTGCCGCTTTACTACATGAACGCCTGCGTTATTCTAGAGGTAGAAGTGCATATTGTCAAAAATACTATTCACAAAGCTCATAGAGCTCTTCTGAGGCTTTTTCGAAGGAAGTAAGGCTGATAGCTCAATCGGCAGCTCTTTAAAACATGTGTAACTATATCTAAGAGAACCCTAAGGCTTTCTTAGGCTGTTCTTGCTCTCCTAAGTCTCTCCACCCCTCCTCTATCGTGTAAGCCTCCGTCTATGTCTATAGCCATCTTTATATCATTATATATTTATATATTTATCTAGCTGACTTTTAACTGTCTTTCTTTCCCCTCTCAGACCTGTTTCCACGTCAAGCTAGACGACGGGCGCAATCGCTTAACTTTTATGCCTCGGATGACTGCAAGTTATTAAAACATTTGTTGGCCAGGCTAAGTGAAATCTTATACAAGTGTGTAAAGCTCATGCTTTAGAGTATATCTCATGTAAACTTCCTTTGCTCCTCTTGCTAGACTAACCAAAGGCTACCTTGGCGCCTACAAGGGCAAATACTGCATTGTCTGCAATTCAAGGCTGACCTCGTAAGAGCTATCCCTCTTGACTCTTGGTAATATTCGATGTAAAATGCTTTCTGCTTGCAGCAATAATTACGTAGCCTGCCAAACGCCCAACTGCAAAGGCGTCTTCTGTGAGAGGTGCTTCTTGGACTTAAGTTCCCAATGTCCGCTGTGCTCTGCTCGGCTACGATTTGACGATGTCTCTCATGTATCCGACGTTGAGTGAGTATGAACTGGGCTCTAGATGTATATCCATATGATCGCCGATGTGTTGCAGGGACTCATCTGACGAAGCTGAATGCGAACCAGAATATGATATCAGATTTTAAGTAATTAAAAGAAAATTCTGGATTGGAACAGTTTTTTAGACAAGGAATCAAAGACTATTCGACTGTGAGCTGTAAGCCTTAGCTATAAGACAAGAGTGGAACTAATTGAACAGGTCACAGATAGCTGCTATATAATGTAGAGCAAGTCTAGGGAATGTCAGGGAATAGCAATACATTCATCCCTTTCCTCTCCCTCCCTCTCTCTGTCTCTCTCTGTCTTTCACTTCAAGTGAAGTCGTGCTCCGTCGTGCTTATTTGCCCATCTCTAACGCATCTGGAGTTCCATTTCTTTTTTTGTAATCGGCAAAACATCTTTCTTTTTCTCAGCGACCAGCCATCCAGCTGCAGACCTTACTTGGCGCTGGGAATCTCAGCGATTCTGATGAATCGCAGCTTTTATTTAGCAGAAATGACATTGCGTCTGGCTCATCAGCTTTTAGGCCCATTCGCTCATCGTCGTCGGCGGCAGTGACTTGTTCTGGTTTGACTTTGTCATGGCCATCTACAGCTACTGTCAGCTCGTTTGTCGCCTTGTCAAGGCGCTTGGCCACGACCCGCTGCTGCTGCTGCTGCTGCTGCTGCTCGCGACCATTGTCCAGTGGGCCATAACACTTTGTTTTCAATTTGTGTGTGCTGGGCCGCGCCACGCCCCCTTTCGTCAAGCGACATTGTGGACATTGCTTGGCGCACATGTGGGCAACAATTAAATGTTCATTAAATGCGACAAGCACGACAAGCCCCACAACAACAACAATTAAGGCAGCCAAGGATTGGCTGTCTGCTGATGATGACATCCTCAGACGGCTCGAGACGGAGACGGAGCCTGAGCCCGCGACTACGATCGGGTCCAGCTGGAGGAATGTGCTGTGTAATTTAGAGCCATAAGCGATGGTGGTCCAGCTACTCTCCCCTTTCTCTCTCCCCTTCTCTACGCCAATCCCTTGCTTATTTATGGGCCACAAATTTTGACATTTATTTCTAACTTGGGCAAGCATATAAAAACTGTAACACGCTTTTTATCTCGGCGGTCGGCGTTTGATCCGCTTTACTATTTCTACTCATCTCGGCTGGGCTCTTCAATAAATTCTCTTAATAAATTCCCTGTTCTTTTCAGCTGTGTGTATGCTAATGTGTACACAAGTGTTTATTTGTTATTTAACACCCGGAGAAACCACACACTGACCACCATCGTCGGCATTCGTCGCTTGACATTTAAGCCGCACTCGACGATCTCCGCTCGGCGGGTCATCGTAGCGCTTATTTGATTGGGTTCTGGGGTTCTTGGGTTACCTGCCTGCCTGTTGAAACCTGAGCGGAACTGCTCAACGGTCAGCCTATCAAAGCCTCCACTGATCCAATTGCAAGCCGTTATTGAGCAACATTTAAGGGTTGCAAATAAGCTGGATCGAAGGCTTTAACAGTTTTGTGCTTTGTTGGCGGTTAGCGTGAAGCAAATACCTTGAACTCGAACTGCTGCAGTCCTTAGCTCATTTGTGGACAAGACGCCTTGCCTGTTGAGCGTCGAGAGAGGAGCAGTTTAGCTTATCCGTTGGTGTGTAGAGAAGCTCCTTAGGACATCCAAGCCTTAGGTAATCTAAGTTACGATGCATGTCTAGTCCTTTTAATACTCTTCTTTAGGTTGTTCTCCATTACTACTATAGACTCTCCTCACGAATTCTAGAGTATATCTTCCTCATCAATTTTTATACCTCTTTAATATCTAAACTGTTTTACCATCCAGTGAAACCTTGGATATCTCCTAATGAACTCGGCTAAAAAGCCATATTACCTCCCTTCTCAGAATAAAGTATATGCTCAATCCTAGTCTGTAACTATCATAAGCCATCATCTATAGCACGTCTAAGCCAATTACCCTGCGTAGTAAGCCCTCTGAAATTAGCCTCAATACGAGATTTTATTTATAATGCTAGACCCATCGGACACTACTTAATATGACACATTTAGGTCCTCACAGCCTTCTTATTGGGATAGCCGAAGAAGCCAATGCTCTTGAGCTCAATGAACAATTCCTGATCGTTGCCAATGGCTCTGTAAATGGCTTTCTCCAACTCGTCGTATTGAAAGTGGGGCGAAAAGGGCATATCGTTGAGGGCCTCAAACAGGACGTTGCCGCGCTCATTGCCCACGATCAGAACTGTGCCGCTGTTGGAGAATCTGCAAGAAAGGCAGGCATGCAAATGCAATTACAGGGTATCGTCTAGTCGGTCATACTGAGCAATTGTGTTGTAGGAAGAGTCCAAATCGTGTTTGCCCATGGGCTTCAGTATGTTGCGACGCAGATCCCAAATGCTGCACGTGATCCTATTGAGAGACACTATGATTGTGGAGTTTATGGGACTCCACTTGGTCCAGTGTATGGGCTGGAAGTCATCGAGAAGTTCGATCAGAGGTCGGGTGATGCCATCCACCCAGATGCGCACATACCTGGAAGCGAAATGAGTTTTAGAAAATGGCTCAACGAATTAGAGCTGGCTCTACCAATCGTTGCCGCAGGTGAGAAACAGTCGGGGCGACCAGGGCGAGAACTCCATGACATTGACGGCGCCATCGTGGCACTTGAGCACCTCCAGATATTGATGCTGATAGTTGATGGAGCACTTGTGTATGCAGCCCTCGTCGGTGAGTATATAGTAGATGTCGTTGTCCACCGGGTGCGTGGTGATGTAGAGCCCTTGTGGACGCCTGTTGGCGGCGACGGTCATGATCGGGGAAATGGGCACGTGTATGCCCTCCGGATGGCCTTCGATGCGCTCCAAGGTCATCTGCGTGAAGCCTAAGAGATAGGGGCTTTTGCCCAGATGGAAGCGAGTCACCGAACCGTCCTGCGACAGACTGAGAAACGGATCTATCTCGCCCACATCGTCGTTGCCGACCTGCTTCAGCCAGCGTATGCCGACCACAGGAGCGCACCCCGGCGAGGTGCTGCGCTGGGATACAGCAATGGGCATATTGCTGTCGTCCGCCACATCTCTCACCTCGACGCTGCCATTGTACATACCAATGGCGATGAGCGACGGCAGGTAGGGCGAGAAGCAAATAGCCGTGACGGGATTATTGTAGTAGTAGGCACGCTCCGGCTCACCCGGATTCTTAATGCTCCACACGAACACGTCGCCGGTGGAGGGCACATGCTGAGAGGAGAAGGAGAACAGGCCATAGCTGATGGCCACAATGTCGCTGTTGGTGTAGCAGAAGCTGATGTCGCTAACCGCTTTGCGGTCGTCGTTCGGGTTGCTGGGTATCAGACGGAAGAGACACTTCAGGGAGTACTTGTATTGGACATCCGTGGAGCTGCGATCCAGTTTCTTGAAGTTGCGAAACCGCTGCATGCCCGAGTTGTAGTAATTGCTGGAGAGAGTGCGTCCAATGAAGAGTATGGCCTTCTTGAATGCCGGGCTCTTAAAGAGCTGTTGAGTCACCGAGCGCATCTTGGATCGCTCATTGGACTCCTCCTCTATAGCGGTCGTGTTCCGCATGTCCCCAGTTACTATGGCAATCTGGCTTTGCATGTGCGGCGTTATCTGGGTTTGCTTGTTTACCACGCCCTGGAGTGTGTCGTACATCTCAAAGTTGGAGACATACGAGCCAACGGTGGCTTGGCTCACGAAGATCGTATTGACAGCCCGAGAGTTGGTCAGGACTATCTCCGTTTGGGCATCGTTATCGGAGCGCCGACGCACCTTACCCTTGCCAACGGTTAGATAGTCGTAAAGCCGATTGTCCGTTTCAACTGCGTTGCCCTGATCAGAGCCCTTGGCCACAGTCGAATTAATCTGTGCATGCAACTCGATGAACTCGGATTTGCGTATCGTTATCTTGACAAAGGACTTCGTGAAGGGCACCGGCATGTGCATGAGCGACTCCTCGTCCCTCGGAACGGCAGACTGATCAAACACAATCGTCTCAAAGATAATCTAAGGTTGAAATGCCAACTATATACTGGTGTCAGGTAAGGTGGGACGACTCGGTCTTACGCCATTTATCAGCTCGTCGATTGACTGCTTATTGCCACCCACTCCGCCGCGCATGCTCGACCTGGTCTTCGAGCGCAGCATGCTGCCCCGGGAATGATACAGCGGCAGCATGGAAATGTCGTGCATCAAATGCAAGTTAAATTTCATAAATTGGTCTGCATACGGCGATTCGGACAAGGAATGCGGCGTATAGTCGACTTCTTCGCCATTAACGACCTCCGTTACCTGTGGGCAGATGCAGGCATTAGCTGTAGCTGTGTCGCGAGGCGTGGCACCTCAAGTCACCTTGAATTGCGAGCGGTAATCAATATCATTGTTGATCTCCACTGCATAGTAGTGCATTTCCCGTTTCTTCGGCACAAACGATGAAGCCGGTGCCTCGGGTGCAACCATGACGGATCTCTTGGCTGTCTTGCGATAGACCTCGCTGGGCTTCATTATGCTTGACGTGTCCATTTTGCCATTTGCCGAATTGTTCATGTCTGTTGGAGAAGTCTAGTCAAGTCTAGTTATAATACTTGAACTTCGAGCGTAGACATTCGTTTGATATGTTTGACTAGGCAAAACTTGATGGTTTTGGAAGTGATTTGGAACTCGGTTGGCTTTCCTTAAGAGCAACCGAGACTCTGCCTAACGATTTTCAGGCAATTAGTTATGCGAACTGCTATCATTTTTATATTAAGCTCCAGGAGTTGAGCTCCGGCAGCTCACGTGGCGTACGAACTTCCCCTGCGTTGTGCGTTAGATAAAAGCCAGATAAAGCTAACACTTTGCCCTGGCTAACAACCACCGAGTCAGCGAGTCAGCGAGTCAGTTGAGAAGGACTCGACGTTTCAGTAACAGTTGAACCCGCGGGCCGTGCAAAGCAAAGTGGAGTAAAGCAAAGTTTTTACGCGTAACAAAGCCAAACCGGAATTAACTCCGACGTAAAGTTCGTGTTTAAGTAACGGCATATATTTCGGTCTAATTGATGTGGTGTTAGACATAAGATAAAGTCGAATATCAATAGCCAAGCAGCTAATTACGAGCATGTCCATTGCACAACAACAACAACAACAACAACTTGAATTGGCATTGCCTTCAATGGATTGCCAAAGTGAAAACCAACTACCAGAAAACTCAATTAGGAATGTTGCAAACACACAGACGACGTTGGCTAAGTCGCAGCCGCAGCCTGCGGCAGCAGTCGCAGCCACAACACCAACTTCGACTGCTGCTTTGGTCAAGCAGCAGCAACAGCAACAGCAACAGCAACAGCCGACGCAGTACGTCATAAATTCAGTGCCAATGCATGCCAAGGCAACCACCGCCGGGCTCATCTCGGGCGGCACGCTCCATCTGCATCGAGTGAAGAGTGCGCAGGTACGTGAAATATGACATTAATTGAAAGTTCAGCCGCACACGCGGATGCACTTCCAGATTGAGCAGCACGAGGTGTGCTCAAAGCAAGTCAACAATTTGCAGCTGAGTTACAGAATGCATCTCTATTCATAGGGTATGCAGGGTATGCTGTATGGGTATGGGTATGCCATATAGATTGTGCTATGCACTCTGTAACGAAAGGCCCAGCTGAGTTGATCTTCTCTGTTCCTCTGTCTGCAACTTCATCTGCTCCTGCTTCGATCCCTTCGTCTGCTCGTCTGCGTGCAATACTGTATTGTGCAGGGTATCTGCTAGTTGGCACTCCCGATGGAACTACTCTTATTGTTATTCTTACTTCTTACTTTGCATAACGTTCTCTAGTAAAACCTTAAGACTAATAGGAGCAATAGATAAAATATGTTCGCACGTATATCCAAGAGTCGAATAGCCCTAGCTCATATCTGGCTATCTATCTACAGCTCGCTCACGAACTCATTGAACCACCCTACCTCCTCCACATTCGTGAGCTCAGGCTTATGTATGTATGTATCTGTATTTATGTGCATGTGTATGTATGTGTGCGTGCATAGACACCTAGCCACAGTGCAGGGTGCGTAACGTAAATTTGTGAATCTGTTGTTTTTTTTGCTTTCCTTTTTTGCCGGCACCGGCAGCCGCCGTCGTCGTGTCTGTCCTGTCCCAGGCCTTCGCTGAATGGGGCATGCGTGTGAGCCTGCGCTGCATGTAGCTGGAGAGACTGACGAGGCTGGCGATGCTGCCAAGCAACGTCATAGCCATGTTATGTAAACATTCAAAGGGGGTTAGAGTGGGCGGCTGATGACGACAGCAAAAAAAACCGAAGCTACGCAGCTGCCAATGCTGAGTGCCTGATGCTCGATGGAGTTAGCCGGGCTTGGATGCTGGCCATGGCTGTTGGCAGTTAGAAATAAGTGCCGCGTTTTTTACAGCCGTTTCTGCTGCTGCTGCTGCTGCTGCTGTATCTGATGCTGCTGTCAAAGTCACGTCATTCATCAGATGCGCTGTGATGCGAAATGAATTTGTTGACGCCATTCAAAGTGAATTTATGATTGGGGTGGGTGCCACAGCAATAGCATACAGTATACAGCATACATACATACAGGCGAGTGTGCGTGTGGGGCTTGGCTGTTTGGGTGGTCGAACATCTTAAGACGTTGTTGGCCTGCACATTTGCATTTGCCCAGTTTTGCACTTTAGCTGGGGCCAAAGTTATGCAGAGTTTTCTTTTTACTTGCTCGTGGAAAATAAAGAAAACAGTTGCTCCCTGGAAAAGTTTTACGTTTTTCCTGGGTGGTGGCTGCGCCTTGTTTATGTTTGCTTTCAATTTTATCCCTGACATCGTTCGCATCCTTTTTGTTTGGGCTTTCGATTACGACTTTTTTTGCTCAATGCCGAATTGTGTGGGTGGGTGGCCATCGTCCTTGCCCGTCGGCGTGTGTCCTGCCAGCCGACAGCCTTGCACTTGCCCGCAGTTGAACTTCATTTTGGGGTTGTTTCGCCCGGCTGTGCTGTGCTCCCATTCAGCGATTGGGCATCCCTTCAGCTGAATTTATCTGAGAGCTTAATTTGCTCGCACTCTCTCTCTCTCTCTCTCTCTCTCTCGCTGTATTTCTGGACTTGCCCTTAGACGGAGTTTATTATCCTTTGGTCGCTCTCGCTTCTGTTTTCGCCCTCGTGTGCTTGCCTAGCATCTTAGACTCGTGTTTGTTTTGCTTTAGCATCGTCTCAAGGGGTTAATCAACCTTCTTCGAGCTGTTACTGAAACTGGCGAATTTCAGCTCGTGCCCAAAACAATTGAATTCATGAGCTGTACTTGTCTTCAGAGAATTCATAAAGCTAGTTTCTAAGTGGATTTATGGCCTTACTTGTTACACAGCTCGCGAGTCCAGATTTAAGGTGTCGATTGAGTGTCTTGAGTGATGAGAGAGTATATATGTAAGTACTCTGTTTATATTATATACATCAACAACTACTTACAAATATTACAGTCACTCCAAAGCATTCATATTAACATCAAATTACATTGAGTTATACTCTTACATCTTTGGGAGCGTATTCAACGCCATTTGCATTATTGCTCTGCATTGTTGCCGTGCTGCAGGCAGAATTACGAACGCTACCAATAGGTGGCGATGCTTTTGATCCCGTTAGCTGAGTTCTCAGGCAGCCGAAATCGTCTGAACAAGCAGTGCGAATGACGTGCGCTAAGGAATTATAATAGTAGTAGTAGTATAATAGGTATGCGTATAAGAGACAATGAAATGTCATTGTGTGTACAATTTAACTTGCACACATTTGTAGACACACAAACTATCTATGTTGAATGTGTGAATATGCGAATAGCCTGGACTTTCCGATCTTATACTACACTTATAGCCGCTGGTGTATTTATGTATTTCTGCATACGCAAGGGGCGACAGAGAATGTAAATAAATAAGAGAGAACTCTTAAATGAGCCCAGGCTTAAAATTCGTATAAGAACGTGTATAAGAGACAAATTAATGTGTTTTTGTATGTGTATTGAATTTGTGGATATATTCATAGCTGGACTTACTGATATTATCCTACACTTATACTGTTGCTACTATGGCGTCTATTTGTATATAGGAAAGGCTCTGCTTAGTTTTAAAGGCTAATCGGACTATCTAGATGCATTTCTATTTGTATAGAGTTTATTAAGCCGCTCTAGTACTTATATATTTATACAGATTTTGATTCATGAGTGGCCCAATGCCAAAATATATATGTAGAGTCAACAAAAAATGCAGTTTTTTCTATGTGTGTGTGCGTGTATGAACGGTCATTGAGCTTCAAGTGGAAGTCCATGGCAAATAATTCAAAATCCACTTCAGACTGAAATATTGTGCATGGCGAAATATTTCGGGGTCATAAATCGAAATGCATGTAAGCAGATTTGCCTGTTGACTACGCCCCCTCTCTCTCCTCTCCCCTTCCACTGTCGCTCTTCAAAGTGTGGCGCTAATGGAAGACAGCGAAGCTCTCTGACTGGCTGGCGGGCTGCCTGGCGCCAACATATTTTGCTGTCGCATGGAAAATTATGAGCGCTGGCTGTGAAAATTTGCATAAAGTCCAAAGAAAACAGAAAGAAAGAAAGAAAGAAAATAAAAGACGAGTGAAAATGCATCTTACAGAATGCAAACGGCGAAAGCAAGTGGAAATGCACAGCATGAACTGAAGAATTTATTTGTACGTGCTGCTAATTCCTTAATTTCGTTACCTGGCGGCGTTTGCTTGAGGAACACAAATTTTCCTCACGTCATGTGAAATTCTTGTGCCCAAATTTTGATGTTGATTACGTGTGGCACATTCAAGAATTCTTTCTTTCCTTAAATTTCCATTTTTCTGTTTGTTGTCCAAAACATCGTTTGATTATATAATTTCAATTGCATTTTGGGAAATGTTTTTCCCAGTTTCCCAGTTTTCTACCATTTAAGACAGCTGCCATAAATTTAGCTGGAGAGCTACCGCTGAATGCGCTAATCAGCGCTGTCAAGCGTTGCAGATGCAACAGCTAAAGATACAAATATATCTGCAGCTATATATGTATATGTATCTGCAAGATACTTTGTCGCTGGGCAAATTGTTGGGGCAAGCAGCAGCAGCAGCAGCAGCAGCAGCAGCAGCAGGCAGTAGGCAGCTTGGCTGCTCCACAAAAATATCTCACGCATTCTTGCAACGCTTTTTTGTCTTTTTTCGGTTAATTAATTTATGCAGTTGCGCCGAGATTTTCCAGTGCAGATTAAGCTCGATGGGGGCATTTAATAAATTGCTGTTAAATTATAGAAGATGCGACAAACTGAAAGCGAAACAGATTTATGGCAGCAGTCGACACTGCGCTTTGATCAGCGCCCAGAGTTGTCACCTTTTATGAATATCATTAGTGCGAAATATGTAGATTATGTAGAGTTGTCGTCGAAAGTTGTCAGATTTATAGCTCTGTCTCCGTCTGCTCACTATATAGGGTTGCCACCTTTTGTGTATATCAAATCGGATTATTATGTAGATTATGTAGAGTTGTCTTCGAGAAGGTGACAAATTTGTTGATTTATAGGCAGAATCTCCTCTGTTTCACTACGATCAGCGACCAGAGTTGTCACCTTTTATGAATATCATTAGTGCGAATAATGTA